AAAATCAAATAAACTTTAATAGATGTAAAGGTACACAAATTGGGTTTTTTTGTTTTGTTTTGTTTAAAAAAAAAAACAAAAACAAAAACAAAAAAACAAGCCAGTCCCTAGTTCTACCTTATCTTCAGCATGTCCAGAGTCCAGTGTACATAAAATACATTGAATGTGGGCTATCGGTATAAGTATCAGCTCCACAGTATATAAAGAATGAAGTCAACAATTCAACATTATTTAGCATATAATGGGCAAAACAGTATAGTATTTTTAGGAAACTGCAGATCTTTTAGAATATTTTTCAGATATGTTAAAGATAGGAAAGAAAGGAAAAAATATCTGTTCAATTTAAACTAAGAAAGGAGATTGCCACCACAGATTTAAGTATTATAGTTTTCAATCTCAGTGGCTTGCAAGGCTGAGACAGGAGGATCACAAGTTCAGGGCAGCCTCAGCAATTTAGTGAGGCCCTAAGCCAACTTAGTGAGACCCTGTCTCAAAATAAAAAAATAAAAGGGCTGAGGATATGGCTCAGTGATTAAGCATCCTTGGATTCAATCCCTGGACAAAACAAAGTATTATGCTTTTCAGAGAAATTTTGTTCAGCAACTTAATAACTTATTTTCCTTACGTTAGAGTCATAAGAGAACTACATAATACCTTCATACCCCAATATTCAAAAATATTTGCATAAAACAAAATTAATAAGCAGCTAAATCTGTCTGATTTGCCTATTAATACACATGGGGACACTAAAACATATATTTCACCTGATTTTGGCCTTTACATCCTCTTTACTGAAATGTTCATTATCACAATATTCAAACAACAGGCTTGAATTTCTTTTTCTTTTCTCCCACACGCCACCCCTCTGCAGTGGGGTCTAAACCCAGTCGGCCTCTACCACAGAGCCACACCTCCAGCCCTTTTTATTTTGAGATAGAGTCTGATAAATTGCTTTAGCATTTACAGCACTTTAGCAGAAGGACTTGGAATTCTTCAGCCCCAGCATTCCGAGTCTTTTGAGTTATAGTTCTACACCACCATGCCCAGCTTCTTCGCTGCTTCTTCCTTCCTTCCTTCCTTTTTTTCCCCTCTAGGATCTCATGCATGCTAAGCAAGTAGTTCTAATACCAAGCTACTTCCCCAGCCCTTTTTAAAATTTTTATTCTGAGACAGGATTTCACTAAGTTGCCCAGGCTGGCCTCGAACTTGCAATATTCCTGCCTCAGCCTTCAAACAGCTTGGATTATAGATGTGTGTGATTATTTTCTTTATTATGAGCTTTCTGTTTTACATGTTAGATTCTGCTTAGATCATTTAATCTTAAAAATACCATTTTAAAATATCAGAAATATGTGCAGCAATTTTTGTCAAGATAAATGAGCCTGAGTTTCTTTATCAGTAAAATGGTAAAGTTCATGAATCATTCCACAAAAGTGTACCAATAAATGCCTATGATAAGGCATGGACTCTTCATTTGTTAGAAATACAATGATGACAAAAATCATCAAATGCTTGTGAAGATTAGAGACCAGCTTATGTAAAACAAAAGTGACACTCCACCTAACTATTGCAAATTTAAGTTAGTAGTCTCATGGATAATTAAGATAGGGAAGAAGAGAGCCATCTTTTTAGGTATAACAAAAAAATGAGATTAATTAGAGCTTCAAGACACACAAAAAAGTATAATAGGAACAGAAGTCAATGATCAAAAAACAAAATAAGCTTTAAAAAGTCAACAGCTAAAACATACCAATGATAACTATATGAAGCCCACTTCAAATATACCTGGAAAAAGTAGTTATCTACTAAATCATCAAGAGAAAAATAGCTAACAGAGTTAAAGAGAATATTAAAGGCAAAAATTAGAAGGAACTAAAGTAACATTATGCTATCTTTAACTTTACTAACAGGTTTTTAAAATAATAAAAATAAAAAGTATTTATATTAATTCATCATAATTAAAAAAATAATTTCTAAATAAAGTCTAAAAATCCTAAGTATGTATAATCTTTCCCTCAAGAAGGAAATGAAAATAAGTAGGGCTTCTTGAAAGGTGTTGTTTGTTTAAAGAAACTTTACTAATGAGAAAAACATTTTCTTGAAAGAAAGGACTTCTAAATTATTAATGCTTTTTTACATATCCTTATGGGAAAATACACAGACCTAAATTTGTAAAGGATATAGTTCATTATACAGTTATAAGTGTTACATTATAAACAGATGTGTTAGATGGAAAGAATACGTTATGTAGATTTTAGATAATTATTGTCTGTAACATAATTCTTTAAAAATCCAGATATACTAGACATTGGTGTTATAAAATAATTCTCAACACAGATCTATTAATTTTCTCTACGGTGAGGCAATAAATGCAATATTAAGAGCTGAGATGCAGCAGCCACATTTGAATCTAGCTAGTTCTTTGTTAACCTCTTTGTACACCTCAGTTTCCTAATCTATAAAATAGTACTGAAACCTCATTGGGTTTTTAGGAAAATGAAATATGTTAACAGGTGTAAGTAAGGTAAATGCTCAGAATAGTGCTGATACACTAAGTACTAGATTAAGTGTGAATACCAGAAAAATGCCTGTCCTGTGCCAATCACTGAAATAAGGAGAGAACAGAACCAACCAAAATCCCTTCATCTTGTAACATTTATATTTTAGTGGAGAGATTATATTCTGGAGTTAAGAAGTAAAATTTATTTAGGTAGCAAATCACCTAATCCAGATATGTACTTAGGAAGAAGGAGTAGTATGACTAGTGGAAACTGAATGAAAAAGTTTCCATAGGATCCAATTCTATAAAGAAAGGTATTCTAAACCCCAAAATGAGTTCCATTCTTGGCACTGCAAAAACAATAGCAATGATAATATTAATGACTAATTTCTGTTGTTCATATATCTTTGTAAACCAAAAAAAAAAAAAAAATACTACATGACTTGAAGTCATCATTTAGCATCAATCAAAATGGACATGATCAATTGTCTCCAAATGTAGTTATGTACTTTATTTACTGTCATCCTCAAACCAATTCCAAAAGTCAATCAGTATCAAAAAAGTTAAACCAAAGCCATCAAAATACAAGAACACAATAAACAAGAAAACAATCTCAGGAGCACCAAAAACTAACTGAAAATATTAAGTCTTGCAATATATTTTAAATGTAACACTTAACATCCTGAATATAATTATTACATAGCAGAAAAAAATAGTTGCCTATCTAAGCAGCACTTTTTTCCTACTACATATAAAATTAACCTCTGTGTAGCAAAAATAAAGGGAGTTAACCAAAAGAATTTTTCCTATTAAAGAGGAGGAAATAAACAAGGCAAACCTCTTTCCTTGGAACAAAACATACTATAAACAGCAGCTGATAATTCAATCATTTACAAGGTATCCATCAAAAGCAACAAATTTCAATGTTGGGGGAAGGGAATGAGCAGATAGGAGGTTTCATTAAATAAACCTCCTAACTTTTCCTTACTCAAGTACCTCAACATTGTCCAAGAATCATGGCCTTTTGAGAATCACTGTTATTGAAAGTCACTGTGCTGCATTCCTTAAAAGATGCAAATCACTAATCTGTACATAACAATAAATTCACTTTCTTACTGCAAAATTATATTTTTATAACATAACTCAGTTCTTGCCACTTCAATTAAGTAGTGTTCAAATCCTCCTTTTTGCAGTAAGTGAAAATGATAATGGTTATTTTCAGTCTCAAAACAAACAGAGGTAAACAAATCTGTCATTTGATTTTATGAGTCCTCTTACTCTAGCAAAATAATGGCCATCAAGAAACCTTTGAGGTCCTAATTATCCTGAACAATATTATTTATTCCACAGTGAAGTTTTATACATTATCAATTTGCATTGATATCATTCTTCTCTAGAATGTAGGGGTTGAAGGTAAAACATCTGAAGTTAAGGGAGTAGAAAGAATGGTACTAAATAGAACCTGAGACTAAAGGAAACAAGAGCCAAAAGATGGAGATAATTTTTTTCCCTGAATCAAATGTTACTGGACTCTTTAGTCATGTGTGCCTGTTTAGGTTAGAATTTTTTTTTTCACTTATAATTTGTAGAGTTCTAACCGCTATAGTTAAATCCTATAGTCTAGCCTCAGACTTTAAGCAATATTGTTATTGAAGAAGTTCTAGCAAAGCTGTTAAATTGTGATCTAACACTAATGGTTTTACTGTTTGAGCAAAATTTTAAGATAAATTGCATTTAAGACTAAAATTTTAATTAAACTTTGTCTTGTAACACACATTTCAAAATCACTTTTCCTCAGTAAAATATACCCGAAAAGAGAAACTCAGCTCACCATATACTCAATTTCCAAGTCTCAAAAATTCTGAAGAAATGTCCAATGCTTTAGATACATTACAAAAGCAAAAAGTTACAGAGGAATAAAAGTGCAAAACACAGAATAAAATCCAGGACACTCCCCCCACCCCCCGCTGGCATTCGGTCCCTGATTTTAGAAATTTAAATATCTTTTTGCAATGAAAACTATTCACAATTGAGCCAGCCAATATTCCTTGGGCAATGATTTGATTAAATCAAAATTGAAACAAACCAATTACCTAATTCAATCTAATTCTGGTAAAAAATATTGAATTTAAGCTATGGAACACAATATTTACATAGTATTAATCTACTTAACACACAATTTCACTTCTAAGAACTGAAAAATAAATTAACTTACCTCAATTGTTTCGCATAGTTCTGTTCAATTTCTATCCTCTCTTTAACAAATTTGGCATATCTTTCCAAGAAGTCAATTCCCCATTGTGTATGCTTGTCTAAGCTGTCGAACTGATCCTACAGAAGGAAAATGAAAATGCACTGACAAAGTCTGAATTTAATGCACAAATATTTTTATCAGCTTCTGATATTTGTACAGACAAACAATGAGGTATAAAAGGAAAAACATTACCCTTTAAGCCTACAAATAGGGGCTGGGGTTGTGATTCAGAGGAAAGAGCACTCACCTAGCATGCCTGAGGCACTGGGTTCAATCCTCAGCACTACATAAAAATAAAATAAAGGTATTGTGTACACATACAACTTAAAAAAAAATGTTAAAAAAAGACCTACAAATAGGTTTCTAAGCAAAATGCTACTTTATTCCAAAATGCTTTTTTACCAACACAGTTCACCCCAGTTTCAATACCCTACCCTGATCATCTTTTTTGCAATTAATTTTTATTTCCCTTGAGATTCAACTCAGGCATTACACCCTTCCAGAAAACAGTCCTAAACTCTCTTGACTGGGATAAATGGTTTCTCTAGGTCCCCAAGATCCCAAAAATTACTATCTTATGTTCTTGCTATGTCATATTGAGGGCAGAAATCACTTATTATTCAACTCAGAATTCTCAAGGCCTAAACACCATGCTCAGCACCACTTACGCACTCAATGAAGAACTGTTTAGCTGAATAAAATCATATATACCTGGGTTCAAATTTTAAGATTAGCCATTCACAGGATGTTTCAGGTTGGGCAAGTTTTTCAAGGGTCTTTGAATTTTTTTGTATCTTAAAGTATACATCCATCACTCAACTCATAGGACTGTGGTGATGTCAAGTGTTCTAAACTGCAGTAAACTTGACACTAACATATTGTACAGTATCATTGTCCTATAAGATTCTTTCAATCCTCAAACATATTTTCTTTCACCTGCAGCCAGAGACAAACAATTCCCTTCCTTTAAGGATAATCTCCAAATTGACTGATAACTTGGAGAACTCTCTTACACATACCAAAAGTCTACAATATATTTCAATATCATCCCTCGATATTTCCAAGATGTCAAAAATTGCCTGGTGTTTAACCATGTTTGCTACTTACAAATTCATCATCTCCTTTCCATTTTATATTTTCCCATACTATATCATTTTAAATTCTACTAAAAGTGGAGTCTATCTAAATAGCAGAGATATAATTCATCAGCTGATCATAGTTTATTATTATTCCTCTATTCATTTGGCTTCTAAATCAGATTTGAACACAACAAGAAAATGAACTGCTGCGTAAATTTTGTCTGCATGATATGTTCCATCATAAATTGGAATTCTCTTTCAAACTGAAAAACTCTCAACAAAATACAATCCCAAAAAGAATCCTCTGAAATGTAAACAATCTTTGCTCATTTTTCCAAATTGCTTCAAAGGCTCCTCTTCCCATTAGTTTTATCATCAAATTCTAGGCGACACTTCTTCATCTTTTAGAAAAAGCCTTCAAATTTTTTATTACAAGCCCCATGTTAAAAAAAAAAAAAACTAAATAAATGCCTCAATTATATGTATGATTATTTATAAATTAACTGATATACTATTTTTTATAATTTTGAAATCTATATCTTCTCTAGCACTTATTATTGTTTGTAATTTTTAACATTTGTTTTTTAGTTATAGATGGACACAATATCTTTCTTTTATTTTTATGTGATGCCTCATGCATGCTAGGCGAGCGCTCTACCTCTGAGCCACAACCTCAGTCCCTACTGTTTGTAATCTTGAGGGCTGCCATTCTAATTGGTGTGAGATGAATATCTCAGTGTACTTTGAATTTGTATTTATCCAATTGCTAACAATGTTGAATAATTTTTTCATATATTTCTCAGCCATCTGTAGTTCTTCATTTGCCCATTTACTATTTGGGTTATTTGTTTTTATTGGTGTTAAGTTTTTTGAGTACTTTATACATTCTAGATACAAAACTTCTCTTTGGGGGGGAGTGGTACTAGGGATTGAACCCTGGGGCACTTAACTCCTCTTTTGTTTAAATTTAGAGACAAGGTCTCCCTAAATTGCCCATGCTAACTTTGAACTCACAATCCTCCTGCCTTAGCCTCTTGTGCCACTAGGATTAACAGGCGTGTCACTGCTCACAGCCCTAAAACTTCTGTCAGAAGAGTAGCAAGCAAACATTTTCTTATAGGATCTCTATTTACATTTTTAATTGCTTCCTTTGCTGTGCAGGGCTTTTTAATTTCCTATCTCATATAGACCCTTGGCATTATTTCCTGAGCTTAAGGGGTCCAACAGAGAAAGTTGTTGCCTGCACCTATATGTTGGAGTGTTGACCCTATTGTTTCCTTCTAGAGTTGCATAGTTTCTGGTCTAAACTGTAGGTCTTTAATCCATTTTGAGTTGACTTTCATACACAGTAGGAGACAAGATCCCTCACTTTACATATGAATAATCAATCTTCCCAGCACCATTTGAATAAAAGGCTATCTTTTCTCTAGTATGTTTTTGGCATCTTCATCAAAGATCAGATGACTATACCTGGGTGTGTTTGTATCTGTCTTCTATTCTGTTTCACTGGTCTATGTCTACTTTTATGCCAATACCATGCAGTTTTAATCACTATAGTTCTATAATATAATTTGAAGTCAATTACTGTGATGGCTCTAGGACTGCTTTTTAGGCTTAGAATTGCTTTGGCTATTCTGGGTCTTTTATTCTTCGAAATAAATTTTATGACTGTTTTTTCCAATTCTGAAAAGAATGTTATTGGTATTTTGATGGAGGTTGCACTGGATCTGTACAATGCTTTGGGTAGTATGGTATTTAAACAATACTAACCCTGTCCAACTGTGATCATGGGTGGGTCTTTCTATTTCTTGTCTCCAATTTCTTTCTTCAATGTTCTATAGTTTTCATTGTACAGATCTTTCATCTCCTTGGTTAGATTTATTCCAAGGATTTTTCTGTGAATGAGACTGTTTTCTTTCTTAGGAGATTCATTATTTGTATATAAGAAAGCTATTGATTTTTTTGTACTGGGGATTGACTCAGGGACACTTGACCACTGAACCATATCCCCAGCCCTGTTTTGTATTTTTATTTAGAGACAGGGTCTCACTGAGTTCCTTAGTGCCTCACATTTGCTGAAGCTGGCTTTGAACTTATGATCCTCCTGTCTCAGCCTCCCCAGCCACAGGGATTACAGTCTTGTGCCACTGTGCCCAGTTAGAAAGCTATTGACTTTTGTATGTTGATTTTGTAACATGCTACTCTGCTGAATTTATTACAACCAGCAGTAAATTTTAAGTAGGAGATCATACGGTATCACCGCAAACAGTGATAATTTGGTTTCTTCCTTTCCTATTAATTGCTCTAACTAGAATATCTAATACTATCTTATATAGGAATGGTAAGAGTAGACATCATTGTCTTTTTCCAAATTTTAAAGAAAATGCTTCCAGTTTTTCTCCATTCCCTATGATGTTGGCTTTGGGTTTACCATACATGGCCTTTATGATGTTCAAGTAATTTCCTTTGATCCCTATTTTTCATTATTTTTATCATGAATGGGCACTAAATTTTGTTGAAGGCTTTCTCTGCATCTATTTTGATGACCAAGTGATTTTTGTCATTATCCTGTTTATATAATGAATTATATGTACTGATTTGCATATGTTAAACCACCCTTACATCCCTGGGATAAAACACACTTGGTCATGCTGTATAATCTTCTTAATATACTGTTGAATATGATTTGCTAATATTTTATTAAGGATTTTTGCATCTAAATTCATGGATGTTGGTCTGTAGCATTCTGTCATGTGTCTCTATCTGGTTTTGCTATGAGGGTGATACTGGCTTCAAAGAATAAATTTGGAAGTGATCATCCCTTTCTATTTCATGGAATAACTTAAGGACCGTAAGTATTAGTTCTTCTTTAAAGGTCTGGTAGAATTCAGCTGAGAATCCACCTGGTCCTCGCTTTCTTTGTTGGAAAGCTTTTTATTATTGCTTCTATCTCACTGAGAATTATTAGTCTAAGTTTGCTATGTCTTCTTGATTCAACTTTGGCAATTCATAGATATTTAGAAATGTGTCTATCTCACAGGTTTTTTCAATTTATTGGTGTATAAATTTTCAAACTAATCTCTAATGATGTTCTGGATTTCTGTGGTGTCTGTGGTGATTTCTCTTTTTTCATCTCTAATTTTATTTATTTGAGTTTTTCCTCTTCTATTTTTGGTTAGTTAGGCTAAGGGCTTATAGATTTTGTTTAATCTTTAAAGAACCAATTTCATTGAGCATGTGTACTTTTTTTTTTTTTTAATTCTCAAATTTCATTTATTTGGGCTCTGAACTCGTTTCCTTCCTTTTATGGATTTTGGAAGTAGTTCTTGTTTTTCAAGGGTCTCAAGATGCACTATTGGACTGTTTACTTGAGATCTTTCTGATTTTCCTATGTAGGCACTCATAGCTATAAACATTCCTCTTAGAACCTGCCGTTACGGTGTCACAGAGGTTCTGGTATGGTCTATAACTTCAAAGAATTCTTAAAATTTCTCCCCTAATTTCATCTATCATCCAAATATCATTCAAAAGTGTACTGTGCCAGGTGCAACTGCATACACCTGTAATCCCTGTGGCTTAGGAGGCTGAGACAGAAGGATCACAAGTTCAAGGCCAGCCTCAGCAAATTCATGACCCCCTAAGCAACTTAATGAGACCCTGTCTCAAAATGTGGTTTAAAAAAAGAAGAAGAAGAAATGGAGCTAGGCTTCTTCACAACAAAGGAACCAATCAAGAACAAGAAGAGAGAGCCTATAGGAGAATATCTTTGCCACCTGCACCTCAGAGCATTAATCAACACAGCTCATACTTCCACACTCAGTTCATACCTCAAGAAGAAAGGAAAAGATAATCAGTTGGGCACACAGAGCAAACACATAAGCTCACTGACTATTATATCTACCATAGTGGAAGAGACTCCTTAATTTATTAACTTTTCACCAAGACCCCCTCCCCCTTTTCTTTCTGTTCTTGTTGTTTTCTTTGCTTTATGTTTTCCGTATTTTATATTTGGCTTTTATTTTATTTGATTGCATACTGACCAATTCAAGGACACCTATACATATACATGTCTGTCTGTTTCTACTTATTTCTAGCCTCTTTTTTTTCCAAGGTGTTGTTTTCCCATGCTATGTATTTTGAGGGTTAGAGTTTCTGATTACCAAAAAAAAAAAAAAAAATCAAAATGTGCTATAGTCTTTGCCAC